AATCCCCCCAAGACAGCGCCCCTTGCCAGCAGGAAGTAGCTTGGAAAGAACGACGCCCAAATTCCCAAATATTGTGTATAAATGTTTGTTTTCATTTAATTGGACTTTGTTATATAAAATTAAATAAAATAAAATAGAGAGTGAAAAGATAGCTGTGAATGTAGCTCAGTGGAAGAGAAATTGCCTATAATGCGTGCGGCCCTATGTTCAATATTTAATGCTCTGACACTGGTGTAACAGACTCCAAGACCTTAGCACAACTGACACCATCTTAGAGGTTCCATTGTGACCTTAGAACCTAGCACAGAGGCCCCAACACCTGCCAAGACCTAATTTATGGAATACCTAGTCCATAACTCCAGGATCTGGGAATGTCCCTAAATGGGCTAACTTTGCTTTTTGGTCTCTGTAGTTTCACCTCTCACTAACTGTTCTTGCTAACTAAAGTGTGTCACCAGATGTGTGTGTGTGTGTGTGTGTGTGTGTGTGTGTGTGTGTGTGTGTGTGTGTGGTTTATATATGGTGCCGCTCAGGCTACATGATTTAGGCAAGTTCCCTTTGCACTCACCAGCCAGCAATACAGACTTTCTATTTGGCTTTAAGAATGTCCATGCGTTCTCTGGTGGAATTGCCTTACAACACTAGAAGGAATGGAAGTATGGAAAAGAGGGAAGAGCGCAAGGAGAAAGGGAGGATGGGAAGGAGGAAGGATTAGACAGGAGCTAAGGATCACGTCTCTAGTCAGTGTTACACTGTCTCCTACAGCTCTAACACCCAAACCATTTGCTCTTTCCTCAAACATGAGACTAAAGGTCTAGGGATAATGTTTTTGTGAGTCTGAAGTATCTCACTTAACATTGCCCATGAAGTATAATACATCCAGGGTGTCAAAAGCTAAGCCAGTCAAGGGTAATATTTTTGCAAAATGTTGAAAGTCAATAACAGTAGAAATTTATTCTAACAATGATCAAAAAGGAGTGAAGTCGGTAAAAGGCATATTTTTTTCTCAGATTTTATCCCACTGGTACACTATAAAAGGATCAAGAGAAATCTCTGAAGGAACACGCTTTTGATATAAAGGCATAAATAAACGGTTACATGCAAGTTTCATCCCTGACCCCACTGACAAAGGTATGTTCCCTGCTATTATATAACATAGCATCATTCAGTTTCCTTCAACTCCAGATAGCTTAGTTACTTTACTTTCAAATTCAGGATAGTAGTTTCATTGGAGAGAAAAATTAGTTTTGGCTTTACTATGTAAAAGGTCTTAGCTTGGACTCCCTATAGTGAAAGGCAGTTAATAAGAGAAAAAAAAGTTTAAGAATATGCATAGACAATATAAATATATATATATATATATATATATATATATATATATATATATGAGATGAGTAACTCTCAAAGGGGAAGCTTTGGTTTAGGTTTAATTGAACAATTTGCTAATAATACTGATAGTTAATAATAATAATAATGGTGTTGGGGAAACAGCAAAGACTTAGGAAAGTGGTGTAAGGTTTGTTATACAGACTTAGCCCACTGCTCTTCTGCACCGACCAATGTGTCTAATAATTCAGTTATCCTCATTTCTCTTACCACTGAGACAGAGACACCCTTACAAATGAATGTTTCCTTTATAAATCCCACTCTACAGGAGAGTAACTCCCACTCTATCTTCAGGGCTTCTCCAATTTCTCCCTATTTCTCAAAGTAATTATAATGCCAAAGAGGTATATTTCGGCAGGGCACATTGCTGTGGAATAATTCTTCTGTACACCATGTGAATATACGTCACTATAATTGGTTTAGTAGACAAGCTGTTTGGCCAATAGCTGAACAGAATAATTAGACGGAAAAGCCAAGCTGAGAATGATGGGATGGGGAAGGGCAGAGTCAGAGGAGTCGCCAGTCAGATGGAGAATGAATCCGACACACAAAATGGGATAGGGGTAAAGGCACCAGCCTTGGGGCAGCATTAATAGAAATGGGTTAAGTTGTAAGAGGAGGTTGGTAAGAAGCCTGAGCTATTGGATAAGCATTTATGAGTAATCTTAAATCTCCGTGTTGGTTATTTGGGAGCGGGCAGTGGGCACCGGAAAACTCTGCCTACAGCATATTCTGGTCACCTACAGTATTGACCCCATAGAGTGCAAAGAAAGAAACACATGTGCACACAGACATACAAACACACACACACAACTTAGCAATTTTCCTAACACATAGCAGATGTCAATAAATGTTATTAGATATTATTTGTAACACAATAACCAAAAACCTTTATTGTTGTATGGTTTTTGATTCACCATTCTACAAATAGAAGCCTGCTGGTGGAAGAGACAATAAACCACTGAGACACATCTCACAACTCTTTCCCAGTAGACTTCCTCCTTTTTATCTGGTCATATGAGCAGATTAAGCTTCCGAGCTTTCTTCAAATTGGACATGGCCATTGACTTGCTTTAGCACATGGCTGAGAGTAACCAAACATAGTTATATAACTGAGTATGGGGTTCTGAAAATATTTGGAGAGGTAATTAATTCAAAGCCCCCAAAAACATTGTTTCTGATAGACCTTGACTGTGTTGAATCTAGAGACTTACTGCAGCCTTGGTTCTGAACACATAGCATGTCCATTTAGCACTGAGCATTCTGTCATACCACCTAATGCCAGTCCACACTGCCTGAAATACCATACTCAATACTATTGTAATCAAGAAATTCAGTTTTCTTACTGCAAACATAATTTTTCTTTTAAAGAAACATAATGGCTTAATTACAGAAAACAATGACTTTTAGTATTTTCCTACTGTTAATTCCTCAGTAGACAAGCAGCAAATTGTACATATTTGGCTTGTATTAGAATGTTTCCTTTTTAAATTGATGTTTAAGTTTCTGGATAATTTCATTAAAAATATCATTAAATGAGTTTTGGCTTGGGATTAGAACAGAATCTTCAGCAATGTTTCAAGTGGTCCTACACATCAAATGGTTCTGCCATTTTGTATGTGTTTATGTGAAGAGTGTTTTCACAGAGAGAAGGGTCACAGCAGAAGAGAAGGGGAGAGACAGGGAAATAAGGCAAGAGAAGGACTAAAATCTATCACCTAGGTGTGTGGCACTGTCAGAAAATAAATTAATTAAAAGGTACTGTTCTTGAAATGCTGGAGATGCTCTGTAACTTGCAAGAACCAGTGTTCAGTGACTGATTCTTTGCAGAAAAATAAACAAATATCTATGCTGTTTGTATGCAACATTACTTAAGCCAGCCTGTGCCGTAAAGAGTGCTCCATCCGTGTGTGGTTGCAGACCCCATGACAGTCAAAGCCATGGTGTCAAAATCCTTTACAGTCACACAGGTCAGGTAGACACCAGAAGGCCTATAGACCAGAAGGCTTCAGAGAAATGTTTAAGACCTCAAATTTGCCAGTTTCTCTGGTCAAGGATGCAGGAAAAGGAGGTTCTCTCCTTGCTCGAAGTATTTTTGCTTCATATCACAACAGGAATCAGTATATTTGTGAAGACAAAGGACTGCTACGAGGCCAGTATAATCTAATGGGGAAGCCCAACCAAGATCTGCAAGTGGTGATGGAGAAGTGAGGCACAGAATTGATTTGGCCACAGCTAAAGTGATGAACCATGGCTGAGAAAGAGAGGAGTCCCCGACATGGGAAAACGACACAGCAAAAAACAGAAAATCCATTCTTCAGATGGCACCAAGCTCTTCAAGTCCTTATGAAGGTTCCTTTACTCTTAGGACTCTCCACTCTGATTAGTGACTAGGTTGTCCACCAGGCTGAGGCTGCACCAAACTGAAGAGGGTGTGGCATGTAACAGGTATGAGAACTAGGCAAGTCTATGGTGTGTGGGGTGTGAAAGGTCAGTTTTGACCCCTCTTTGGAGAAGCCCTGATCTCTGGAGAGGCATTTAAGTACAAAGAATGAACACAGGGGGGCATCTGATTATTCTTTGCTAACTGTGAGGCCTTAAACTCATTTCCTACCCAAAAAATATAAGGATGCAGCACACCTGCCTGGGATATTTGTGAGGGGAAGTAAATGACTTAACTTGGGTTGTATATGAATGTACATTGTCCATTCCCTAACCTATTTCCATTTCTCAGGAAATGTCAATCATCATCATTATTGATATATGACAATATATTATTATATTGTGATTATAGGCCTGCTGTACAAAACATTTTGACAAGCTATTTTATATAGCACCCTCCTTAATTTCTCATACCTTCAGTTTCTCACTTGTGAGATAATAATTTTATGTCTCTCGGTTAGTAGAACATCTTTGGGACAGTAACTAGTCAGACACCTGGTTCAGTTACCCAGCAATCCTGTCACCAGACATTAGCATTTCTTCTATTATGAGACTGAATAGGGTAATCCAGGCATCAGGAAGTGCAGTGCCAGGTCAGGGCTGGTGAGGGTTTAATGTACACAAAGAGTTATTTGCAGAAATGAAGGCGAAGATCTTCATCCCATACTTGGCAAGAAGTGTGTTGATTCTCTGAGGTGACCTCTTGGTCACCTCTCTAAAGGTAGTAAGTTTCCATAAGCGAAACTGAGTCGTTTTCTGCAGGCAGGGACCCATTAGCACTCAGCTTTACCTTGGCCTCTAGAACAGTACAGGGCTCTCTGAGCTGCCAGCTGGATCCACTGAAAGCTCGCCCACTGTCCAGCAGAGGCCGCCCTGGGACGGGACTCCTGGGACCAGTGCGCGGGGGAGGGGGAAGGCCAGTGGGTGGCCCTGTCCTCGCAGGAGGGCCGGGTGGGAGGGGTTTGGCGATGGTGCGGGCGGGTCCTGGACTCGGGCTGCTGGGATGGAGCAGAAGTGCGCCTGGCGCCGCAGGGCACACAGCTGACTCTGCGCGCCACCTCCACTTCGCCTAGCGCTGCCAGACACCAAAGCTGCCACCGAAGCTGCCTGGACTGATCGCGCTGGGCGGTCAGCACCACCCGCTTTTCCGGCAACCCACCGGGCGGTAGAGAAGCCACCGGTGCCCTATATACTTGGTCAGCCCCAGGAAACTCTTCCCTAGCCAAGTCCAGCTCGGTACCGAGCGCCGGAGTAACATGGTGTGCAAGGCGCTCATCGCTCTCTGCATCTTCACCGCAGGTACTTGGCGCGCTCCGCGGACCAGCCAGGCGTGGGGAAGCGGGCACCAAGCTCCGGCTGAGTGTGTGTGTGTGTGTGTGTGTGTGTGTGTGTGTGTGTGTGTGTGTGTGTGTGTGTGTGTGTGTGTGTGTGTGTGTGTGTGTGTTTGGGGGCCGAGGGGGGGACGACACCAGAAAGTAAGTCAACACTGGAGGGTAGTGGGTCTGCAGGCGTGTGCGCACTTAGATTTAAGATGTGCGGTTTTGCCGGTCCTGGTGGGGGGTGGGGGAGAGATTGGATCTTTGCGGCGGCAGATTGTGCCCTGTGCCCTGTGCCCCCTACAAATTCAGTCTTTGTGAAACAGGTGGCCGGCTAGCTGGCACGTTAGAACACCAAACCTGCAAGGAGATGACTGTTTTCTACCGTTTCTCTTCTTCCCTGGGGCGGGGGGAGGGGGCAGATCTCAGAGCGCACCTGCCACAGTCCCAGACATCACTTCTTGCCATGGTTTGTTCTGCCATGGTAAACAGTCGGGGCAGGGGTATGATAAAGCCGCTACTAAGAGGGCTTCAGCATCATGTGCGCTCAGCTGGGCTGGTTAGAGCACCAGGACTTAGAGGTCTCTGGAACTCCTGAGTCTCTTTTTATTTAGGCTTAGAGATGATGAGGCACAAGGTCTCAGGGTCTGCGCCCCAGGCTGGAGTCAAGCTTGTGATCACTGTTATAAAGAACTGCAAATCTACTGTGGCCAAGAGCCTTCCAAAAAAAATGTGCTCCCTGAATGAAACTAGTAACTTGGGTAAAAAGTAGGGCACACACACACCCTTCTGCCTGTGCCCCATCCCCAAATATCACTCTCAGGTTCTATGCTGCCTCTGTGCGTGCCCCGATGGTCTAAGGACTACTAGCCAGCCACGACCTTGGGCAGAAAACCCAAGCCAGCACGCGGACTGCAAAGATGAAATCAGGCACCATCCTCTGGGATTGGGTATCTAGGTTTTTATCCAGAAAAAGTGAAGCCCAATAAAGGGCTAGGGATAAGGGACAAGGCTGTGGGGAAGAGAGGGAAGGCAGGGGGAGAGTAACCCAAGAGAGCAGCCTGGTCTGTTTGAGAAAGGATTCAAAGCCACTTACAAGCTGATTCAAGATTCAAGCTTTAGTTCAAGCATTTCCCCTTCCTGTATTGCTTGGGTTCCTGTAAATGTGCCTCCCACCCCCCCCCCCCACACCCAAAAGTAGTCACAACTCCTTGAGAAGAATCTGGAAGCTTCCCCGAGGCTCTGAGAATAGTTTTAAGGGAAAGTTCCCCAGCTTGGGCCAATAGTGTGCTATTTTCTCTGCAAGGTCTAGAGACCTGCCTGCAGATCTTTCCGGAACAGTCGGACAGCTTCCGTGGTAGTCCTCTTGGGAGAGGAGCGCTTATACCTTACAGTGTAATGGCCTTCCCAGCTGGATTGCCTCCAAAAGTAGTTCCCTGGTCCTCCAAGGAGAGATGAGCACCCGGAAGGGAACCCATTTAAGGAGCTTAAGAAGCCCGCATCTTAGATGGATAGATTTTGTTTGCTAAATTGATTTTGGTCCTTTATCCGTTTATTTATTATTTATTTGTGTGTTTAATATTTTCGAGCACTGGCAGCTGGCAAAACAAAAACACAAAAATGGGTTAATCCCCAGATAAGATGGTTTACTGATTGACTGGTGATTTGCTGGTGATGTATTGATTGATTTCAATGGTCTTACTGTTCAGCTGTGTTCTGCTTAGAGAAAAATACTGCCCATTGCCCTTCCCCTCCCCCAGAGGCAGGTGGCTGGTGTTTCAGAGACTGGTTGAGCAGCCCCACTCCTATGCCCTCCAGGCTTCTACTGGGATCAGGGCCATCAGGGTCATAGGCTCCAGAGGCCAAGGATGACATATTGCCTCTTTATCTTACTTGCCCATACAAGGCAGCTCTCTCTGCAGTTTGTGAATTTCAGTGAATCTTTCCATGGACAGTCTTTTAATAAAACTGCTTATCATAAATAGGCTGGAAAATAATGTCAGAATTATCATAAACACCTCATGAGAGTCTCTGAATTCTAAAATAAAAATTTTCAGATTGACATACTTTTCTAGAAGGTTCTGGATAATGGTAGGCATATTCCGGCAGCTTGTCCTGGAGCTTCTCTGGCAAGTCATTCACCAAAGGATGACTTTTTTTTTTTTCTTTTTTGTCCTGTTCTATTTCTCTCCATTTTTAGAGGTTTCAGAAAAACTTGAACTGAGCCAGAGACAGTGTCTGGCAGGACTTTAATGTTTAGGCTTAACAAATCCTCTTGATATATGCATAGTGTTTAACCCAGTGTATATTATGGTCACTTGAAAATATGTGTGCATTATCAGCAGCCTTGACAGGGGACAGCTCAACATTAGTCCCCTGAATTACCTTAGGTGGGATGTATAGGAGTACTACATGGGAGTTAAAATCCAGTCCTGAGTCTCCAAGGTTTGGCATAAGAACTATGCAGAGAGAGAAGACAGACCACTGATTGACTTCATTTTCTGACCCATGAGGCTCCTCATTTCTGTCCCTTAGAGTTGGGTAGACCCACCTGTTTCAAAAACCCCTCAGTGAGATATATAAGGTATATAGAAGCATTCAAATGGTCTTTTTTTAAACACTTAAGAAGACAAAAGGTTATGTATTATGTAAGAGGAGTCCATACATATGAGAAGCCAGTGATCTGGCTTCTCTTGCTCTGTCCTATCTACCCCAGGCCTGGATCAGGAGGAGTACAGTACACTCCATTCCCAGGCACCCTGGAACACTCATTGGCCCTCTAGTTGACAACACTAGAGCTAGAATTTCAGTCTGCCCACCAGCAAGACATCTATGTGTGCGTGTGTGCGTGCATGTGTTCTGGATCTCTCTCTCTCTCTCTCTCTCTCTGTGTGTGTGTGTGTGTGTGTGTGTGTATGCATGTGTTCTGGACCCATCAGCCCTCTTTTCTCTGAATAACTGACATCTGCCTCTGCTCTTTACCTGTACAAGTCCTCATGTGTGTCAGCTCAGTGACTGTATCACAAATATACTGCAAAATCACCATCTTTTCCCAGCAAGGTGTATTGGAGTAATAAGGGAGAGTTAACCACATTCCTTTCACCTGAAATCTATGGTCACAGTGAAAGACATGATATCTTCCTTTGTATGAAGAGACCTGAAAACTGCAAGCTCTTTATATTGTCCTCTGCTGCATATACAGAGGCAACGCTTCTACGAGATGCAGGTAGATTCTGTAGCCTATTTACAGTACCTAATGACTACCCTGCATTTTCTCATATTTAAAATATGAGAATGCTAACTGACAAAGCATACCTACAAGTAGACAGTACTGGGGACCTGGAAAATGCTTGGTACTGTTAGCTCTCACTGCTCTTAATAAAGATGACTATAAACCTTAATAAAGATGACTATATCCAGCCCTGAACTGGATATAGTCCACCTCCCCAAATGCAGAGCCATTTTGTTTGCATTTAGACTCTTCAGATCACAGACTGAAACTGACATGCCAAGGCTGACGACCCTTCCAGCAAACTCAGTATGCAAATTAGGAAGACAGTCCACTGAGCCACGAAATGCCTAATTTAAAAGGTGAAGAATGGAATGTGTTGGTTCAGATGTAGCACAATGATCAGGAAAAAAAGCGGGGGGGAAGGGGTCAGTTACAATTAAAGTAAAATCAAGTCCTCACCAAGGACTTTTGCAAACTGATGAATTTAGAAAGCCCAAGTCAGCTACATCTAAAAGGTCAGATCCCCCAGAGCAACACATTTGGGGATAATTTGGAGTAAATGAGCCATTTTATCTGATGGTTCTGAGTGACTTTCTCCAGAACCCAGAGTCCTCAATAATGGCCAGATCTCTAATTGAACCTCAGCACTTGGACCCGCTCTAATTGCATTAGTGTTTTTATGAAGAAAATACTGGTGAAGTATTTATACTAACACAACTTTCTAAAGCAATAATTTTCTCTGAGGGATGGGGGGAGCATAGCACCTACAAAAACAGAATGGCATTTCAAAAAAAAAAAAAATGTTTATCACCTCAGTGGGACCAGAGCAGTTGAACTACGTTCCTCCTTTTAAGAGTATCTGTCGAGAAATCAGTGTGTAGGAGTCAACTATTTGCCTTGCTTGTGAGATATCACGTGGAAAGTTAATGTTTCCTGTAGAAAACAATGCTAGCTCTAAGAAGTAGACAAGTCATGTCTGCTTCACCCTGTAGTTGCTTTCTCACGGGATATGTGGGGTCAATAGGTTATCACCCGGTTAATGTGCAAACAGCATGACTACAAAGCCAAACTCACAGTGTATGCGGTTTATTACATCCTAAATTATTTAAATGACAGGATCTGATGTAACATTTTTCCATCACATGCACCTTTAAATCTTCCTCATAATCTGTTATACCAGCACAGCCCATTTCTTTCAATTATGTGTTTCTAACATTGTTTGCAGATCTTGAAAACTTTGTCATTTTTGTAAGTAATAAGAATGATGAAGCGATGTAGACAAGTATAGGATTCTGTCCATGGATACTTTCATTAGGTGTAGGTATAGTGTCGGTAGAAAGCATATTATGTTAGTTTTCCTTTGCCCCACATAGCCTCGTTTAGCAAATAAAAACTCAGGCAGTCCAGTCACATTTGAATTTCAAGAAAATAGTGTTTCTAAATATATATTGTATAATATTAAACTTTGAGTTTACCAGGAAGTACTGTATTTTATCTGGCAACTCTATTTTGGCCTTTTGTCTTCAGACCACCTATGCAATGCTCCTGCTGTAGGATGACCTTCAGTTTGAACCTTGTTTCATGGGGCCTTGGCTAACCAGCACTGCTTCAGAAAGAGTCTTTTTGTGGGAAAAACATGGAGATTTTACAACAGCTCTCTTGGTTAAAAACTGCATAGAGGGATTAGAAAGATGGCTCAGCGGTTAAGGGCACTCTCTGCTCTTCCAGGGGAACTGGTTCAATTCTCAGTC